GGCAAATCCTGCTCCAGGGGTAGTCCGGCACTGCCGGCAGCCTGCAGAATCCTGCTCCAGGGGCAGTCCGGCACCGCCGGCATGCCGGCAGCCGGCAGAATCCTGCTCCAGGGGCAGTCCGGCGCTGCCGGCAGCCTGCAGAATCCTGCTCCAGGGGGCAGTCCGGCATGCCGGCAGCCTGCAGAATCCTGCTCCAGGGGCACTCCGGCACTGCCGGCATGCCGGCCTGCCTGCCGCCGGCACCGGCGCCGGCGCCGGCAGACTTCGGATCCCCTCGACTCTGCCTGCCTTTTGCTCTTGCTCCACGGCAGCTGGACTGCTACAGGGGTTTGTTACAAGCCTGCAAGGATTCATCCGAGCCGGTGCGCGGCCCGCTCCGTGGGAGTGCTGCAGGCTGGTCTTGTGAGTGCTACAGGGGGAGCTGCCGCCAGCCTAACTCTGTCTCCGACTGCTTGGATGGGGCAGGCGGAAGAGGTGATTTTTTTGTGCTTTGATTTTTGTGACTATTGCATGCTCTTTCTGTGCGCGTGAGCTGTGTGACTCCTTAATGCGTGTTCTGTGGAGCGGCCTCACTTGGAGATCAAGATATATCAGAAGCGGCTGCGTCTGCTACGCCGCAGCCGCGCATCCGCTGCAGCTGCCGGCAGCCAGAGCGCGGCCATGTCGGCCACAGGCAGCCTCCTAGGGACTTCTGTAATTTAGACTGGACAGACCTGGCACTTTGCTATGCAATGGTGCGCCCTGCTCCCGGGTTGCTCATGCATGTGGAGTCTGGCAGCCCAGTGAGCAGCTGGACCATGGTGTTGCAGAGAAATGGTGGATTACAAGTTTCAAGCCAGTGACTCCGTCGGATCCGGAGCGCTACCATGACTGCACATTCAACCATCAATGGCAAACGTCACAATTGCGCTGTTGCAGATGTTCTCGAGTCCACTGCTGTCCAAAAACTGTCTCGTGTCTGCGTCCGGGGCAGTCCGGCACCGCCGGCATGCCGGCAGAATCCTGCTCCAGGGGTAGTCCGGCACTGTCGGCGTGCCGACAAATCCTGCTCCAGGGGTAGTCCGGCACTGCCGGCAGCCTGCAGAATCCTGCTCCAGGGGCAGTCCGGCGCTGCCGGCAGCCTGCAGAATTCTGCTCCAGGGGCAGTCCGGCACTGCCGGCGTGCCGGCAGAATCCTGCTCCAGGGATAGTCCGGCACTGCCGGCAGCCTGCAGAATCCTGCTCCAGGGGCAGTCCGGCACCGCCGGCATGCCGGCAGCCGGCAGAATCCTGCTCCAGGGGGCAGTCCGGCACTGCCGGCGTGCCGGCAGAATCCTGCTCCAGGAAAATAGTCCGGCACTGCCGGCAGCCTGCAGAATCCTGCTCCAGGGGCAGTCCGGCACCGCCGGCATGCCGGCAGCCGGCAGAATCCTGCTCCAGGGGGCAGTCCGGCACTGCCGGCGTGCCGGCAGAATCCTGCTCCAGGGGTAGTCCGGCACTGCCGGCGTGCCGGCAAATCCTGCTCCAGGGGTAGTCCGGCACTGCCGGCGTGCCGGCAAATCCTGCTCCAGGGGTAGTCCGGCACTGCCGGCAGCCTGCAGAATCCTGCTCCAGGGGCAGTCCGGCACTGCCGGCGTGCCGACAAATCCTGCTCCAGGGGTAGTCCGGCGCTGCCGGCAGCCTGCAGAATTCTGCAGAAGGGGCAGTCCGGCACTGCCGGCGTGCCGGCAGAATCCTGCTCCAGGGGTAGTCCGGCACTGCCGGCAGCCTGCAGAATTCTGCTCCAGGGGCAGTCCGGCACTGCCGGCGTGCCGGCAGAATCCTGCTCCAGGGATAGTCCGGCACTGCCGGCAGCCTGCAGAATCCTGCTCCAGGGGCAGTCCGGCACCGCCGGCATGCCGGCAGCCGGCAGAATCCTGCTCCAGGGGGCAGTCCGGCACTGCCGGCGTGCCGGCAGAATCCTGCTCCAGGGATAGTCCGGCACTGCCGGCAGCCTGCAGAATCCTGCTCCAGGGGCAGTCCGGCACCGCCGGCATGCCGGCAGCCGGCAGAATCCTGCTCCAGGGGGCAGTCCGGCACTGCCGGCGTGCCGGCAGAATCCTGCTCCAGGGGTAGTCCGGCACTGCCGGCGTGCCGGCAAATCCTGCTCCAGGGGTAGTCCGGCACTGCCGGCGTGCCGGCAAATCCTGCTCCAGGGGTAGTCCGGCACTGCCGGCAGCCTGCAGAATCCTGCTCCAGGGGCAGTCCGGCACTGCCGGCGTGCCGACAAATCCTGCTCCAGGGGTAGTCCGGCGCTGCCGGCAGCCTGCAGAATTCTGCAGAAGGGGCAGTCCGGCACTGCCGGCGTGCCGGCAGAATCCTGCTCCAGGGGTAGTCCGGCACAGCCGGCGTGCCGGCAAATCCTGCTCCAGGGATAGTCCGGCACTGCCGGCAGCCTGCAGAATCCTGCTTCAGGGGTAGTCCGGCACTGCCGGCGTGCCGGCAAATCCTGCTCCAGGGGTAGTCCGGCACTGCCGGCGTGCCGGCAAATCCTGCTCCAGGGGTAGTCCGGCACTGTCGGCGTGCCGACAAATCCTGCTCCAGGGGTAGTCCGGCACTGCCGGCAGCCTGCAGAATCCTGCTCCAGGGGCAGTCCGGCGCTGCCGGCAGCCTGCAGAATTCTGCTCCAGGGGCAGTCCGGCACTGCCGGCGTGCCGGCAGAATCCTGCTCCAGGGATAGTCCGGCACTGCCGGCAGCCTGCAGAATCCTGCTCCAGGGGCAGTCCGGCACCGCCGGCATGCCGGCAGCCTGCAGAATCCTGCTCCAGGGGCAGTCCGGCGCTGCCGGCAGCCTGCAGAATTCTGCTCCAGGGGCAGTCCGGCACTGCCGGCGTGCCGGCAGAATCCTGCTCCAGGGATAGTCCGGCACTGCCGGCAGCCTGCAGAATCCTGCTCCAGGGGCAGTCCGGCACCGCCGGCATGCCGGCAGCCGGCAGAATCCTGCTCCAGGGGGCAGTCCGGCACTGCCGGCGTGCCGGCAGAATCCTGCTCCAGGGATAGTCCGGCACTGCCGGCAGCCTGCAGAATCCTGCTCCAGGGGCAGTCCGGCACCGCCGGCATGCCGGCAGCCTGCAGAATCCTGCTCCAGGGGCAGTCCGGCGCTGCCGGCAGCCTGCAGAATTCTGCTCCAGGGGCAGTCCGGCACTGCCGGCGTGCCGGCAGAATCCTGCTCCAGGGATAGTCCGGCACTGCCGGCAGCCTGCAGAATCCTGCTCCAGGGGCAGTCCGGCACCGCCGGCATGCCGGCAGCCGGCAGAATCCTGCTCCAGGGGTAGTCCGGCACTGCCGGCAGCCTGCAGAATTCTGCTCCAGGGGCAGTCCGGCACTGCCGGCGTGCCGGCAGAATCCTGCTCCAGGGATAGTCCGGCACTGCCGGCGTGCCGACAAATCCTGCTCCAGGGGTAGTCCGGCACTGCCGGCAGCCTGCAGAATCCTGCTCCAGGGGCAGTCCGGCGCTGCCGGCAGCCTGCAGAATTCTGCTCCAGGGGCAGTCCGGCACTGCCGGCGTGCCGGCAGAATCCTGCTCCAGGGATAGTCCGGCACTGCCGGCGTGCCGGCAGAATCCTGCTCCAGGGGTAGTCCGGCACTGCCGGCAGCCTGCAGAATTCTGCTCCAGGGGCAGTCCGGCACTGCCGGCGTGCCGGCAGAATCCTGCTCCAGGGATAGTCCGGCGCTGCCGGCAGCCTGCAGAATCCTGCTCCAGGGGCAGTCCGGCACTGTCGGCGTGCCGGCAGAATCCTGCTCCAGGGGTAGTCCGGCACTGCCGGCGTGCCGGCAAATCCTGCTCCAGGGATAGTCCGGCACTGCCGGCAGCCTGCAGAATCCTGCTCCAGGGGCAGTCCGGCACCGCCGGCATGCCGGCAGCCGGCAGAATCCTGCTCCAGGGGGCAGTCCGGCACTGCCGGCGTGCCGGCAGAATCCTGCTCCAGGGGGCAGTCCGGCACATGCCGGCGTGCCGGCAGAATCCTGCTCCAGGGGTAGTCCGGCACTGCCGGCAGCCTGCAGAATCCTGCTCCAGGGGCAGTCCGGCACCGCCGGCATGCCGGCAGAATCCTGCTCCAGGGGTAGTCCGGCACTGCCGGCGTGCCGACAAATCCTGCTCCAGGGGTAGTCCGGCACTGCCGGCAGCCTGCAGAATCCTGCTCCAGGGGCAGTCCGGCGCTGCCGGCAGCCTGCAGAATTCTGCAGAAGGGGCAGTCCGGCACTGCCGGCGTGCCGGCAGAATCCTGCTCCAGGGGTAGTCCGGCACTGCCGGCAGCCTGCAGAATCCTGCTCCAGGGGCAGTCCGGCACTGCCGGCGTGCCGGCAGAATCCTGCTCCAGGGGTAGTCCGGCACTGCCGGCAGCCTGCAGAATCCTGCTCCAGGGGGCAGTCCGGCACAGGACCCATCGGATATACAGAGGCCCCTTCCCGATAGGGAGACCCGGGGCCGCGCTCAAAGGTCGGTAGACCCTTGCACCGACGGGCGCCCGACTTCATGACGGGTGGACTGTCGCCAAATACCGCTTGGCTAAGCGGACTAATCGTCTGCTAGCCGCCGAATATAGACCCTGTCAGACCGTGAACACATTCGGGACTGGGGGTCTACCTACTCCTCCGCTTATCCCATTGGAGCACGGGTATTCCTCAGGCGGGTGCGTGGATTGGAGCAAGCGGGTCTACGTGTGCACTTAGCCGGATATTCTTGAGGGGAACCCGGGCCGGCTGCACTCGCCCCTAATGGTGAAGTCCCCAGTCCACACCAGGCATGCGGCTGGCCTATACCTGTGCTACAGGGGTATCACTTCCGGTGAATCAAATTGTCCCCACCACGTATGTACAGTGTTATGGGGCTCTGCCGGACGGCAAAGCGCTTGCCCAACACACCGATCCTCTATGCCGGCAGACCCGCCCGTGCGGCGCGGCGCCACCGGCGGGGGTATTTCAGCTGACATTTACGACATTTGCAAACATGCGTGGGCTACTAATTGTCGGATGGCCGCCGCGGAAATACCCGAAGCCACCTGTTTAAAACCTGGGCCGTCTCTTTGGCATTATTATTACTACAAGAGCGCGGTCCCACTGTTAATGGGCATCGATGTTGCTACAGGAGCACCCAGTCTTGCAGCCTAGGACTCTCGTCTGTCGGAAGCTGCACTTGGGCAGTTATGTCGACTGTGGCCACACTGCTCAAGGTGCAAACAGAAGCATCTGATGCTGATTCAGCAGCGAAGGCGGCGTTGGCGGCCGCGGCAACCACTCGGCAGGCTCTCGCTTCTCATCAAGCAACAGTGCAAACAAGAGCGCGCTCATCCCATTGTTCGGCTAATGCTTTGGAACAAATTGGCAGTGCCCTTCCGTTATTATTTCAGTTTTTTAAAATGTTACATCATTCATCGGGTTCACTAGCGTGCAATGAAACTTGGCAGCAATGATGTCGCACAGAAATAGATAATGGCAGCCGCATGAGCGAGAAATGATGAGCCGATTGAACCAAGGCAATGACAAATGGAACGACAATCGCCTGCATGGTAAACACCTTATCATCTATTACAATCTGTATGCCCCGATGTTTTTAATCATGCATACTTCTTTAGGTTTGTGTTCTTGTCCGCTGGTCTACAAGAATATGGTTCGTGCCAGAGTTCACCTACTGTGTTGTTTAAACTGCTAGCGTTGCCCTTTTATGTGCCTAGCAGCAGTTCCGTGCATGCGCTTGCTTTTCTCTTCCTCTTCTTTTTTCTTTTGGCCTTTGACATTCCAAATGGATCCTCATGAACTACCCGCACTGGAACCCCTACTAGGGTTGTCTCACACCCAAGATTGGCTAGAGCCTCAGGTGACGGCTGTGCCGCAAATGAATGCCCTCCAGAGGTCCAGGCGTGCTCGTTGCAGATGGTTGTTCCTATGTATGCTCAGCTGCGCTGCAACTTTGAGCTGCATGTGGTTTGCTGCCAAGCTCGCTGCAGTCCTTCGCTCCCCCAACAGACAGGTGAGCTTCAATTGGGGGTGGTGTATCGTTGTCAGGCTGCATCCAAGTGGCCATGTCGCAGGCCACAGCTGGACTGCACTCCACCAGGATTACTGTGATCCCGCTGCTCTCCAAGCTAACACTGGTATCTAACGTCGCAGGCGGCAAGGGCAGGCAAGGCATTTTGTTTTGCGGGCGGTCGACTGTGACACGCTTGCGGCGCCTGCTAGATGAGCCCCCGATGAATTTGCCCTTGCTATTCCCCGCAGCGTTCGCGCCCTGGTTGGCTGAAACGCCAGCGGCAGAGAAGGTTTGCTCGGTCAGCGGAATGCCCAGGTTGGCAAGCATGCTCTGGTTGCGCGCAATGTTGTCAGCACGCTGCTGCTCAAATGCGTTTAGCGGCTCTGTCGGGATGACAGCGTTAGGCTCCTGTGCTCTGCTGGCCCTCCTCTGCAGCACATCCAAGGCAGCATTTTATTGAGTATTGTCAACATTTCGGTGTGTTTCAGAGCAAATTCAGAGCGCCTGAATTGTTTGCCCAGTTGCGCGTGGATGAACTTGATATAACACTCAGTTCAGCATGAGACAAGCAATTAGGGCTGAGTAAGGAGATGTTCGGCGCACTGTACCTTCGCCAGAAAAGCAGCGTTGTGCAGCCTGCAGTCCCTAGCAATGCGTTCCGCCTCAGCAGGCCAATCATCAGGACTGGTCTCCACACGCACCTGTCACCAGCAAAGGGACTTTTTTTCTGTCAAGAGAAGGTCCAGTATTGTGCGTTGTTATTACAGGTTTTCCAGTCCTACGGACCAGGTACGTCCAGCAACACCTGTATTGTGCTTAGGCACGCACAAAAGCAGCATGGAACAGGAAACTTCAGCACTGCTTCAGGGACGACAAGGCTCTGTCATGAGACTTACCAGCTGATTCGGCGCCCACAAAGCCACAATCTCGACGTCCCCATCGTCATAGCAGACTGTGTGCCGCTGCCGCAGGGGGTCAAACGCTGTCACAAAGCCCGGGTACCAGTCCTCGTCCATCGGCCACCACAAGGATACGCGGGCCCCTATCGCTCTCTCAGCTGTGACAGCCACCTGAAATGCACACAGCCCAGACCGTGAGGCATTTCAAGCAACCAATTCAATCTTCTTGCGCTGTGCTAGATCCACAACTGTCATGAATTTGCTGCATGCCAACAATTTCAACAAAAACAACCTCGGCCAGCTTCTGCGAAGGGAAGCACACCCTGACTGAGTAAATGCTCACCTTGCTCACTTCCATCAATATAGGCGCACATGGTACAGGCCTGCTCAGAGACACATAAAAAGAAACCGTGGGGGGGTTTTGGGTTTGATAACATATCGCTAAAGTGGAGGACATGACAGACCTGAGCCCCAGAATGGCCAGCTGCAGCAGCGGCTGCAGCGCGATTGACGAGGCAGCGGCGCGCGGCGCCCTGTGTGGCAAGGCAGGCCTCGCAGTACCCGCAGCGGACACGAAGGTTTGCTGCAGCCGCTCGTGTGGCTGCCAGGGCTGCCAGCGCCTCCTTGTGGGCGCCCTTGTCAGGTTTGTCTCCGCCCTCCGCCGCAGCGGCCACTGCGTCCGCCAAGCCCTTGGCTTCCTGCGCAGATGCATGGGATGCTGATGCCTCCTGCAAAGCTGCATGGCATCAAACAAAGGTGCACGTTGGTGAATGACGCCAGGAGTAGCCTCATGAGCGCTGCACCAGCAGCCACTCCCGGCAAGCACACTATATACATGTGAAAATTCACACAGAAAGGTATATTGCACTTAGGACCTCTGCCATTTTACTGTGCTGCCATCACAAAAGTGGCCAGAGCAGAGCAGACATACACACCAGAATACAATTATAACGCACCTGCACGGTTCTGGTGAAGAGGCCAGGTCGTGCCATCTTCCTGGCGCCAATCAACTCGTTGCCCTCAGCCACCTTCTCATGAAAATGGCGCTTGAAGGGCAGCAGCTGGGCTGGAGAGTGCCACATGCAGCTGCGCTGTCCAAAAAGCACAACCAGCACCTGTAGAAGAGGAGTCAGATTGCCAATCATGTTCCTTCATGCGCAATCAGGCCGCCCCAGAACCGCCCTTTACCATTAATATGGCTGCACAGGATGCATCAGGAACACACTACAATAACCGGGCCAACCAGCCGAATGGTTGACATTTTCTGTGCGCGCAGTAAGAAAATAGGCCGCACCTTTCGTTTGCTGGGTGATGTGGTGTCACGAAGCGCGGGCGTTCGTGGCCCCTCGGGTGCCATGTCACTGCCTGTTATCACAGCCTCGTGGCCGCCATGCTGCGCTGCCGCGTCCTCCACAATGGTGCTCCCGATGCGCATCGGCGGCGGAGCCTCGCCGCCGCTGGGCTTGTAGATGCTCGCCATGTACTCTGCGCTCGTCAGCGCTGCAAGCGCCGGACCCCCGCATCAGCCTCATTGCGACTTGCTTTCAGCTCGAGTCACAGTATTGGGACACATAAAGGACACAACGTATGGCTCCCTGTGAGGCCAAAGCTGCACGGATTCATGTTGCCGACTGATGTTTGGAGAGCGCTCGCAGGCAGGCAGAGGCGGTCCTCACCAGCGGAGGCAAGTGGAGGTACTGTGCGGGTGGGCGGCATGTGGTGGGGGTCCAGCGCCTCGCCGGGCCACCACACACCGGCCGGAGTGCGCGCCCACACCAGCGTGCCCAGTGTGTCCACGTCCGGCGTGTACCCTTGCAGCCGCGTGATTCGCACCGCCTACAAAGCAGGTTTACACCCCTCACGCTGCTGGTCAGGAGCACTGGCCTCAGCCCCAGACCCCCGTCTGCTGTGGAGATGTGCATGCAGGTGACAGGCAGAAAAGCTTTGTAACTTGAAGCGTTTTCTACAGGCACAAGAATTTTGGAGGGCACACCTCCTGATTGAGTGAGGCGCCGCACTGCTGGGCTCTCTGCAGCACATCTTCCATGTTGAATCCCTGCAGGCAGCATATCATCTGAATCAGCTTTGCAACAATATGCAGCCAATTTGCTGAGGATAGAGCATCAGCATTGAATCGTCTTCTTAGTTGCGCAGCATTATAAAGCAATCACATGGTAACACTTGACCTCAGCACGCTGACGCTTCAGGTCGGTCAATGGACCCTTCTCATCTAGGGATTGCCCCAATGCATCTACCTTGGCGGTGCTGGGCACATGCAGTGAAGATAGAGGTGTTCTTTGTGCTGCCGATAGAGAGGGCCGTGCAACCTGTTCACGCAGGCGGGCAAAGTAGGTGGTGAGGGTCTCCTTCTCTGGAGCCTTGCCGACTTGAGTAACAAAGTCGCCCAGGAGCGTCAGCGGCGTCAGCACTGGCGCCTCGCTCATGCCATCGGCTGCGTATCTGCTCCCACACCCACAACAGCTGTTTCATGCAATTTATTCAGTCATTCCGTGAAAATCAACATCGACACCAAAAACACTTTTTTAAGTTACAGATTTGGCTGCTTCTCCTCTGTCATATGCAGGATGCTGCTGTGTGAACTATAGAATATTCTGGACAGGACAAATAAGGCTGGTCAGTGAAGAGAGAAGTCAAAGGCTCACCTGCCAATCCCACGAACAAACCAAGCTGCACGGGGCCAGGGCGTCCCGTCGTCCATGCGCAGCCCAGACTGACCCGCTGTCGGCTGTGCCTTGTTGCCGGTCTGCAGCGCATGTCCACATACACATCACTGACAGCACAACACGTAGCCAACACAGTGTTTCTTATAAAGATTTTGTCTGGAAGCCAATTTGGCTACAACATATGCTACATTAAAATTTTGAAGCTACAAAACTGGCTACATGCTAGAGTTTTCAGAAACTTTCTCCTGGTATCGGTGTTTTTGGGCGTGTTTCTGCTGGAAAGGGATAAAGTGGCTTCAAGCATGGTTCAATTTAATTTTTATAAGCCAGGTGGTGGCTTCAAAGAGGGACACCCTCAGGTAGTTTATGCGCCACAGTAATACCATGTTTATCTGTTCAGAGCCATATTGGCTTCAGGCCACTAAAAGAAAGCCACCAAAAGAAGCGCCACTGTCACTTTCAAGTCATCGCCAATCGATATACCGCAGTAGGTGCTGACTTGGAATTTGGAAGATTCTTGAAATCTGCGCTTGCAGGCGTAAATTGCAGGTAGGCTATGACTGCCCAGTACCTGACGCATGACGTTGAACTGAAAGTAGGGGAGCTGTGTCTGCGTGTTGGCAAGGGTTGCCTTGTCACCCACAGCCTTATCAGCTTCCATGCTGGCGAAAGTGGAGGGTGTCGCCGTCTGCGCCGGTGGGGCAGCGTCCACGGCTTTGGGGGCTGCTTCAGGTGCAGGCGACTCCTCTCCGCTAGCACCCACCGCCTTGACTGTGCACAAGAATAAGACAAGTCAGCTTAGGCGCTCCTTGCGCAATCATTGCCATTGCCTCCTTAAGAGTGACTCGGATTTGCGCACAACTTGACTTGGTGCATCCTGTTACGATTCTGTACAACATGGACAGCTTTTGCTCACACAGCGCAAGTCATAACCCTGATCACACCTGGGAGCTCCAGCTGGTTGCTGACTTCGTACAGCTCCTCCGCAGGCACACGGAGGTCGTTGTCATCTTTTGTCCACTCAAACTCTACTCCATCGCGCTTTGGCTGACCTCCTGGCATGCATACAATAGTTCAGGTTGCCGCTCCTGCGCATGCATGCAAGGATCAAGCAATAAAATTCTCGCGGCTGTTCCTGGCGCATGCAGTGCAAAGATACGATTCCCACCTCGTCGTACTGTGGTCATCCCCGGGTGCAAAGCTATGCTCACCTTGAGGGATGGCTGCATGTGGTGTGGTGAATTTGCGGTCTTTGGATCCCACATAGTACTTATGCCTGTGGGGATTGACCAGGCGCTGTCCTAGCCATGAAGCGACTGGCACTGACACGGCATTCCCCAGCAGGGCCCAGCGATGTGACTGCAATATGCAATGTCCTATCAGCTTGTGTCCACCACCCTCTACTCATTGGCAACCCCTCTTCATGATTATTAGCCATCGCACCAGCAGCTGCTCAAATAATGAATGACCCAGCTCTTCACCGGCCGTGAGCAGTTGCAGTAGCAGCTTACCGAAATAGAAGACCCTGTATTGAGGAATAAGCCAGGAGAAGACAACGCAGAAAGGAGGGCTTTGCTCACCTCCCTGCGGTCCACATCCGCATCCCTGAGGCTTGAACCGCCGTGCAGGTTGACTCCCGGGCCGCGTATGGGGAAGCAGGGCAGCGTGTACCCTTCCTCAAAGCCCTGCATTTTTTGTCGAGTGTCGGCGGCATATCTGGCCGATTTGAGCATGAGAAGACGTAAAGCAAGTCTGTCCCAGAAGGAACCAGCAAACGAGAAAAAAGCGCTTCAGGCATAAGATGGACTGTGAGGTGGGCACCTGCAGCCTTTCAGCATCTTCAGTGCGCAGGGCGCCCAGCTGACCGGACTTGAGCAGCAGGCACATGCGCCCGTTGCCAGTCTTCAGCGTTGGCACCATATCAAGCCCCGGCCCACTCCTGTTCACAAGTCAGGCGTAAGAAAAGGGTTGCAAGTAGTGTCCCTATGCACTGCTGCGTTCTAAAGCATAGATCGGTGTTTTCTCAAGTAGAAGGACGCATCAACAGGGCCGACACAAACAGCAATATGGTAAGTCAGGGGTTTGAGAGCGCACTGGGCATTGGAGAGGTCCAGGGCATAGGTGCAGTCGGGAGAGAGACCAGTGCCGTCAGGACCGTGTGCCTGGTGGCATGAGTAGCAGGGCTTCCCATTGAAGAGCTGGTAGCAGGCTCCCTTGCAGAGGACCCCCTGTGCCACCACAAGGGCCTTAATGATTTGACCAGGGCCATAATGAGGTTCCCTTCCGAGGACCTGCAGTCCGGCCCACATGTGTCTGAAACACAGTAAGCAGCAGAAGTCAGTCCTTGGTATCCATTTCACCTGAGACAGCAGCACATCACGGGCATCTCCGTGGAGGGATGCGACAACAAAGACTCGTTTGCGGCGATTGGGCGCTCCAAAACCTGCAAGCGCCGTGCAACGCCTGTCTTGTGCCAGCTACCTTTCATGAAATTTCTGGAGTTGCATTGCAAAGTCACAGGGGATTGTGGAAAAGGTGCAGCCTACACGACCATCAGAATGTCAAGCACAAGCAACTTACAGGAAAGGGGCGCGGTCAGACGCACTTGCTGTGTTGATAATGCGGTGCGCCCAGCTGGAGTATCCCAGGTTCTCAAACTGCTCTACGATGTATTCTATGACAGGCGACTGGCCATTGATGCGATCCAGCAGGCCCTCGACCTGCACAAATCAGTGTGCTCCTCAAAACTCCTCGCAAATGTACACATAAGAAAAATGGGACCTGCTCTGCCAGCTGCGAGCAGTCATGGGATGACTGCTGAATGGCGACAAGGTGACTAACATATAGGCAGATATGTAAAATGTTTCACACGGCTTGTGTGAAGTACTCACATTCTCCAGGAGCACCCATGGGATGCCTCGATTCTCTCCAAGAGCAGTCTTCAGCAGCCGGAAGACATGCCGCACAAGGGAAGTGCTCTGCGCATCATGATTGTATCATGATTGCATTCAACTTCCAACTAAAAGCAAGTGCTGAGAAGCATTCAACAGACAGCATTTGACTGACACGCGCCAAAGAGAACGCAAAGAACATGAAAAAGAACAGTTCTGCAATACCTGCCCATTGAGGCCTCTCCTCAGCCCCGCCCTGCTGACATCAATACAGGGAAAGCCAGCCGCCAGTATCTCTGTCTCCTGTGCTGAAACTCTTAGTCAGAAGCCCATGCATGGCTATGGTCACGAACAAGTTTACAAACGCCGTTTTGATTTCAGAAAAAAACTCAGAATCCCCCAGGCCCTAGAGATATGCATGAGAGCCAATTTGCCAGCTTGCCTGAGGCAGGGAGGCAAGAGAGCACACGTCAGGCACCAAGAGCGTCCCAGGAAAGCTTCGCTTGAGCACCTGAATAGATACCATACGACATGTCTTAGAGATTCACTGCCTTGGACAATTGGCTGGATCCATAGCGGTGAGCACGTCACTCCTACCACACATTGATGCTGGACAAGAACCTCAACCTCAAATTCAAGACCCAAAGACTGTCTTGCTCACGGACAGAAGCTTACCTGTTGGGCTCCTGGATCGCTTTCACATTGTAGAATGATGGTATGTCCAGCCTGCGCGTGAGGAGAAGACCGTCGACAACGGGCGCTTGCATTGAAAACGATTGATCAGTAACGGCATTTGGCGCAACAAGTGCGAGACACCTTCGTGATAGAATTTTGTATTCCTAAATACTTTGCATCATATTCCACCTACTTGATCCCAAGCCAAGGGCGACTCCTCACCTGTTCCAGACCAACGTCCAAACCCCCGGCTCCCGTGAATAGGGAGGCCACCCGCATCCTATCGGAATTTGGCCCACTCTATATCATTTCATCATTCTTCCTTTTGAGTCTACAATATTGATATGCATCAAGCATTCCACCTCTCTATCCACTGTCTCGGAAGGGACATTTCCCCTCGCCTGTCGATACGCTTCCGACATGCATGGTTTCATATGAAGGTTTCGAATTGCTATTTTATTTGGGATGTTTCATTGGTGTAAGCTCGGACAATTGTGTACTTCAGTGTCTTCAAATGCCATCTACATCCTGCTGTGTGTAATTCGGAACGCTACCAATCTGACGATCTCGGAGTGTCGTGGACTGAGTTTCTTACAAGACGGGGACGCAGTATCTTGTTTATGGAGAAGACAATTTGAGTCTTTAAATTCGTTTCAAAGTGCACCTACCTTCAGTCTTTGGCAACATGAGCAGGTGCGTCGTGTGTATTGCCGATTGATGCAAGGTGCCTTCAGAGGTGTAGAATTCGGCATATGCATGATGATTAGACATATGCAGTGGGCCCATGCATATTCTGGTGAATAAGGCTACTGTCTGCAACAGTGTTGGTTCCTCTTGGAGACTCGAACTCTTTTTTAAGTCCAAGAAGGACTTGCAGGAGAAGGTTCTTCCGTTCCTGAAAGAAAATGGCATCAAGCGCGTGAATATTACCAACAAGGTGAGCCACCCTGATGCTGTACATGTATGAGGGATCAGGCTTGCCTCTTGCGGTTTGACAATGGCTCCTTGCGACCTTTGCACCGTCTACTGATGCCATGTGTGCACCTATACCTATGCAGACAAAGGAGGACCAGCTGCTGGAGTGTTGCCAGCTCATTACCTCCGCCATACCATCAGCGCAAGTCTGTGTCCATTACTCCTTCAAATGGAATTATAAGCATAATGTGGACCAGTCCCTTGAAGCATTCTCGAAGTTCTGCGCCTGCCTGTCAGAGGACAAGCAGTCAAGCGCACTGCTTATCAGCGGAGGCAAGAAGCGCAAGCTTGATACTGTTGAGGTGAGCCCTCTTACATGCATGGTTTGCACTCAATCACATTTCATTACCCCTAAGCCATCATTGGTCGGTTGCAGTGTGACAATTGGGTGCTGTGTATTGAACCAAAGACATGGTTGCGTGGAACAGGCGCTGCAAAGATTGGGTGCTTCTGCATGCAACTTTGCGATGCCACCAATCTATGTTGCTTTCAACCCATACTTTCCCAGCAAAGCTGAGGCTGCTGAGGAGAGGAAACGCATGCAAAGAAAATTGGACAGCGGCCTGGTGAGGGGCATCTATCTGCAGATGGGCACAGACTTGAAGCTGCTCAAGGAGGGCTTGGACTTCCTCAAAGAGGCTGGCAGCACCCGGCAGGACAGTCCCATGAACCTTTATGGGTCAATTTTCCTCCCAAGCAAGCGGTGCGGTCTTGCAGAGCCCTTGTGCCCTGCCACGCACATGATTGAGCAGCTGCTACGTCCTTGCACACATCAAGATCTAGAACAGCTTATTATGCTTGGCACAAGACCACTGCAGCTTTATTTACGATCCACGTCTAATGATCTGTGTCATTTAATAGCCTGAATTTTCTTGCAAACCATTCATGCAAAGCAGGCTGCTTGCCCAAATGCGCTTTCGCCCATGGAATGGAGTTTTTCTTAGCGATGAGTACTTGAGCAACGTGGATAAGGCGAGGAGCATCACATCGGATATCTTGAATAGTTACTCACAGCATGGTGTCACTCCTCTCGTGGAGAGCAACATTTGCACTTCACAAGAGCTGCGGCAGTGCCTGGATCTGCTGGAAGAAAGTCACAGAACGGCATGACTGGATGATTTTGCGTGGTCATCATCGTTTCGAATCGTTCTGTTTGATGCTGGTGGTACTGAGATTGCTCGCCTATCGGCTGCACATGCAGTGTTGTACATGATGCATGGCTTGCATGGCTTCAATTGATAATTGTTTCATTCTACTGTATGATACAAGGCGGATCGTAACGCCACATTCTCAGACCTCAAAAGCCTGTTAACATTATCATTATTACAAGCATTTCCTGCCAACAGGCATGGTCTGCAAACAAGCTGCAGTCAAAAACCTGTACAGATTTATATAGGGTTCAGCGCATGTTTGACATTCAAGCATTTTCATTCTGAAAAAAGGTTCGGTTCTTTGGAATTCCAGGTCAGAAAGTACCCCTGATAGCTAGCCTACACTCACATCACGCTCCTTTGTGCATTCGTTCCATAATTTCAGTTGGCATGCATGTTGGTCATGTGACTGGCATGCCAGCGATTACTGCAAGCCTTCACCTCGGGCTCACAGTATTGCACATTTGAATTGTACACAGTAAGAAGCACAAAACGCACCCTCAAGCGTTGATGCAGAAAGACCTTGTCAGAAATCAGAACTGACAATGTGTCAGGGCAGCCTACTAGTCTAAGATAATTCTCAGCGGTCATCTGAAGGTCAGCCAACCACCTCAACGGGCAGTGTCCCTTGGGGCTTCTGCAGGATCCATTTGGCGTTCATTGCCTTGGCAGCAAAGCCGTACAAGTCGCTGTACTCCTCTATCACCTTGCCAGTGGGCTTGCCTGCACATCCAGCAAATCAAAAGGCAGTCAAAAACCAAATCAACGACGCTTAGATAGGCTGCTCAGGGTGCTGCATGCATGCGCAGGAATGAGACAGCATGGCACGTTTGCATGCAAGCATTGATGCGTTCCAGCAAGATACTTAGGGATCCACTCACCGCCTCCGTGGCCTGCCTTGCTGTCCACCCTGAGGAGCAGGGGGTTGCGCTGCGGCGAGCCTGGGTAGCCTGCCAGGGTGTGCTGCAGGGTGGCAATGAATTTGTAGCTGTGCAGAGGGACCACCCGGTCGTCATGGTCCGCTGCACTCACCACAAATCAGTCAGCACTCAGGCAGTGCAGCAGAGGTTCTTGAGAACTTCCTGTTCCTGTCCAATTTCACTCCTGCCCACTTGCAGTGAAAGGCACGGCTCACAAAAGACAGCTTACAGCTGGACGGGCATAAGTTCACTGTCAGCATGGATTAATGGGGTGTGCACACCTGTGGTCAGAAGAATGGCAGGGTACTGGTGGCTGCCCGCTGGGACCCTCACATTGTGCAAGGGTGAGTATTTGTACATGTACTCAAAATCAGTCTTGTTGGCTGGGTCTCCATACTCCGTCATCCATGCATGCCCTGCAGCAATTATTTTTCAGGCATGCTGCACATGATGTTGACATCAGCAGGTGCCACCACTGGTATGTGCACCTTGTAAGCATCAGCTGCAGGCCTGGTATTTCTCATGCAGGGCGGACTCTGGAGGGACAGCAATAGTGACTCACCAATTGTGAACAGCTGGTATCGGAGCATATCATACACGCCAACTTGCGAAATAACTGCTCCGTACAGATCAGGCCGCTGCGTGCACAAGTAGTGAGAGACATTAATCTTGGCAAAGTGAGGTCAGGGGCATAGAGGTCTCGGACGCTGTTGCTGGTGAAAGAAACCAGATGAAACTACACTCACAGAGCGCAGACCCGCACCTGTGTAATTTGAGCGCCCATCAACAGACCACCATTTGACCCACCCTGGAGCAGCACAGTATCTGAGAAGCATGCATGGTTCAGCCAAGTTCACGCCCAAGTTGTCCTCATCTGACATGTGCTCTCTGCAATCGAGTTGCTCATCCAATACCTGGATTGTCAGCTTGCCCGGTGAAGAGTATCCAGCAGCATGCAGGTACTCAGCACAAGACGCAAAGTCATCAAAGCTGTTTTGCTTCTGCAGCAAGTGTCCTTCCTCCCACCAATCGTTGCCATACTCTCCTCCACCCCTGCCAAGACAGATTTATTGACCCTCTGCGCCAAATCTCACCAAATCGACACACAGTGATAAAAAGTGGTAATTTCAGGAGAGATGTATAGACTTGCCTGATGCCAGCAATAGCATACACTCCTCCATACGCCAGCAGGTATGTCAATCTGCTCACACTGAATGTGGGCTCTGTCACAATCCCATAGCCTGCATGTGAACAGAGAGGTCTTACCTGAAATGCCAACCCCAAATATAAATTCTAGAAATACATATTTGAACCCTGACATATAGGTCAAATGCAATTCAAAGCGGCCCAGCCAGCCCTGCGATGCTGTCATCTACTGATAATTCATTTCTCCGTGTTTGTCCTGGTGCATCTTGTGCATACAGAGGATTAGAGAACTGGCACAGACTGCTTACCGCCGTAGGCGTACAGGAAGGTAGGGTTTGTCCCATCCAGGGTGACGCTCTTCTTTGCAACAATGAACATCGGGATCTTTACCTTGCCATCCTTGCTGGGCACAAACACCTGCGCAGAACATCCATTACGTTTGATATTTGCATGCAAGAGCATTTGCAACATCAGAAAATCCATGAGCTGGAATGCGTCACAGGGCCTCTGATTCTTGAGCATGCCTGTGTTGTTTCCAGGCCGTCCGCATTGTAGCCGCCGGGAATCTGCACGCTGCTGATGTGCTTTGGGTCCACCTCAGGAGTTGCTGTGTCGTACCTGCATTATTCCAAAAATGAATGAGTGTCCTGGCAGGGATTGCATAAGAAATTATCTTCGATTTCTCATAGATTTGATCATACGGAACAGGAAGCCTTTTAAAAGTGCCATGCAAGGCAAAACATTTGCTGTGCAGCTCTCAGGAGTGCACACAAACGTGCAGAGGAGCAGTCATTCATAAATACTTACAAGAAGGTAGAGCCAGGGTCAGTCATGGACTGGTAGGAGTAGTAGAACTCGCTGAGGCTGCGGCGGCCGCACATCTCCTTGATGCTGCCGTAGCCGGGCATGGGCAGCTCGCGGATGAGCTTGCCGGTCGCCAGCGACCTCAGCTGCAGAATGGTGGCCACGTCGCGCATGTAGGTCACCACCATAGCATCCCCCTGGGCAGGCCAAACAACACACACTCAGTGAGCCAATCCGGCAATCGCAGTGACTCACTCCTTCTCATCAGGCCACAATGATACACAGCATGCATGCAGTCAGCTCGCCCCAGGACCCTTGACACTTCTGGCATTGCAAGAGGCTCAATGCGGTTGTGCAGACAGAGTGCTGGGGGTTTGACTCAAGGTATTTCACAGGTGACTGTGCAGGGCACCGTTTGCTTAGGGTCTTTTACTTTATGTTTTTGTTATTTCAGGATTGTACAGGGTTTTTAAACTTGTAATCTAGGGTTCACAAAGGAACCAGTAGGGTTCCTATAGGTATGGTAGAAATGTCTCACCTTGAGGGCGCTGGCGCCACTCATCAGGTCCTTCTCATGCTCTGGCAGGATCTCCTGCCAGGTGTCTGGCGAGATTCCCTCTGTCACATTCATGCGCACCAACCTGCATGCATGCACAACTCCCTTGAATATAAAGGCGCACAACTCCATCTGAACAAGTTTCCATCCTTTAGCCTGGCCTGCTCTTTGGACCTTGTTGTTTTATTGTCAGACACCAACATGCATGCACATCAAATGTACATTCCCAGTGTGAAGACCGAGAATCTGGCAAAATGCTTTCCTTGCTTCATTTTATATGGCCTTTAGGGCTTACTTGTTGCGGGGTGCATCGTGGTCGGTGGTGAGGGTCCAGATGGGGCCATCATTGGCGACGATGCCATAGGAGGCCTCAAAGGTGTCGATGACCTTCACAAGCGGCAGCGGCTTTGCATCATGCTTGCGCCTGTCGTAGGCTGACAGGTCCAGCGCGCCTGTTTTGGCGCTGACTGGCAGGTCGCTGACTTTCATGTACCACAGCTTGTTGGTGGGCTCCGTTCCGGTCGACACAGTGATGATCAAGTAGCTGCAGACAAAACCCATATACCTTTGTCAGCATGCATGGCATAAATTCCAATGCAGCAAGTCACCCTTTTCAGATTTTCCTCCCTGCATGAAAGTTTCTGTAGCACATGCTGATCCAAGAGATCCAAAACATCCCTGGATGGTTTGGAAGGAAGCCCAGAAGACTCAGATGGCCTGTTCATTGGGTGTAAGGAAAAATCATCTGAGAGGGACCTAATGCGAAGGGCAATTAATCAAACAAAGGGCATCTGCGGTGCGCGCACTCTTTTGGTTCGGTGAAGCCAGCGCCAATGGAGTAGGTGGGCTGTTCAGGGATGGCAAGCACAAAGACATCCTCGTCCTGGCTGGTGCCCACGACGTGGTACCACAGCTGCTGGTCCTTGTTTGCGCCGGTGTTGGTGCCCCGGGCGTCAAAGTTTGTGATGTTGGGCGCCGGGTACTGGTTGTAGAAGAAGCCCTGCAGGAGCCAGCAGACCTCAGCTGGAGCAGGCCTTGAATCACAGCGCCCTCAAAACACTGAAGCAGGTGTTGCCCATACAATCACACAGAGACTCACTAGCCCATATTGATTGGTGAATGATGTATTCTGAGTCAGGCATGTACAGGATTCAGGATTCAGGCGCAAAGCGCGGATGGCCGAGCGAGAGCACACCTTGCTGTCCGGCGACCAAGCTGTGCTGCTGAACTTCACATTGTTCAGAGTGTCATTCAGTACAGTGGCTGCGCCCGTGTCATTGTTGATCTGGAGCACATGGATTGTCTCCCAGTCAGATCCACCGCTGCAAGCAGACACTGCACTTAGTGCACTCACAAGAGCATGCTTGGGGAGACACCTGCTTCTCAATACAATTCCTTCTCTGCCTTCGGCCCTCTCTGAACTGGTCTTGCAGTTGCAGTGCATCAGCGCAACTGATACTCGGCAAATTTCCCCTTTGCTGTGCTTGAACAGTGTCTGCAGCAAGACCAACAAGATCAGCTATCATGAACAGGCCCACAACAGATTTAAACTCTAAAGTCTGCACTCTAAACAAGCAATCGACTGCAATCTTGCACTGATGCACACAATATGCATTAGCTCTCTCCCCACCTGGCTATGCTGTAAGCGACCAGGCTGCCGTCCCAGCTGAAGGCAAAATCGTTGAGGGCCACAGTGCCATCCGGGCTGAGATTGTTGGGGTCCAGGAGCACTGTGGCCTCTGAGTCCGGCGTCTTCTGAGTGTAGATGACGCTCTGCGATTGCAGCCCTGTGTTGCTGCTGTAGTACCACCTGCAGTGGCACCATTTTCTCAAAGTCCGTGCTTTCTTGTCGTAGCATCACTCATACTGCAATCTCTTTGCAGGCAGCACTGGGATTGGCGGTGACACATGCCGGCAAGCAATGGTGTGCTCATATCGAGGGGAATGCCTCATTGCAAGAAAAAGACTCTGCACCTGAGGACTTCCCCCGGCTGGCCACGCTGAAAGGGGCAGCTGATTTTTGGGAAGTCATACATCTCCGTCATCATATCTTTGAACTTGGAGCGCGTGTCGCACTCCTCCAGAACACTCTCTGTCAGCTGGTTCTGCGCTGCCATGACTGCAGACACACCAGTCTGATTAGTCACATTCTTTGCTGACAATAGCTTCATCAAAATGACCTCGGCAAGGTTTTCGCATGTGCATGACAAAGATCATGTGCACCGCAAAGGATTATCTAGAGCAGCCACAAGCCACAGCCTGGCAGGTGCGCACATGCGATGGTTTCATTTGAGTCTGTGTTCTCGAGCCATCTGTAGGGATCAGAAACAATAGTGCCAAAGAAGTCAGCGGTCTCATTCTCCTCCCTGTACACTGGAGGGTACTGGGACGGCACCACTACCAGGCCACTCTGCACAGAGCCTGCACAAGACAAGGTGGTCAAATTAGAGTTTGGAGGTCCCCAAAAACATTCACTATGATATATTGCGCCGAATACGGTGTCCGTGCAACATTCGGCAGTGTAGTGGTGCTTAAGTCATATGCCTGGTGACCACCATGTACATTAGGGACAGTGCCCACACGATCCCAGCTAGTATCTTGCAGGCGTCCGATTGGGATCTGCACTTCGGACATACTCGCAAAACGTATCACAAGAATTGGTCTACCATGCTGAGTGACTTGCCTTGAGGCAGCGCGTTATCCTGTCCCGCTGTGCCGGGGCAGAAGCAGAAGCAGCACAGTGCGAGAAGAGACGCCCCGGCCCAAACGGCCATTTGATGGCGGGCCCTTGCCATTCAATTCCTAATAATGATTGTAAGATCCGAGTAAGCCTTAGGCTGTTCCCAGCTCAATGCCTCGCGCTTTCCAACACCCCGGCGTGATGGCAAACAGGTCGACTGTGTCAATATTCGATCCCAGCGCTTCCAGCAAAGTGGCACCAGCAATGCCACGAAAATCAATCAAGAGTTGATAGTGAGGCTCATCTATTATGTCGTCTCTGAGACAATAAATTAAAGACCGTTAGACACGCTTTAGTCAAAGCCCCCTGCACAAGGAGTGCTGCTTCTGTGCGTCCCCTCCGATCTAGACAAGCCTGGTGACCCCGAAACGAGTCTACCTATCTTTAATTTTACCCCGAAGAGCAAATCTACCCGAAGTGGAGGTGACTACTGACCAGATCGAGGAGACTGGAACTTCCGAAATCGAAACTGACCTGGCGGACGTTCGAGCCTGTTCTGGCAACGTCCCTCCGGAACCAGCTTTCGATTTTTGGTGAACAGCTGGATTCACTTGGGATTGTTCAGACATATTACTCTGGGATGTAATGTGCGTGACAGGGTGCATCATCGCCGATTAGCTTTCAAAGCGTGGCGGATCGCCTTGCATTGACATAGCCGTCTCGAATCGAGGGATATTCAATCCTAGATCTGAAAGTGTCCCAATGGGAGGTACGCGTCGATGCGTCCTTTCAAATATAACTTGTACGATTGTCATTCCACTTTTTGTTTGGCGCACTTTTGCGTGTTATGAAGCATGCATCTTCACGGTACTGGCTAGGTGGTTGACCTGAGGACTTGCCCATTGCAGGCTCTGCAAGCAAAACATCTACTCGGCGAGATCTGGAAGAACATTGTGGCAGAGTACGGAACACAACAGTTTTCCATGTGTTTGTCTTTCAATGATCATTGTGGGGTTCAGACTGAAACAGCCGTCTAAAGAGGACTGCTTGCAATAACAGATCGCACATCACTTCGTGAGTAAACAATCCAGGTGAGCGTAAGAAGTGTTTCTGTCAGTAGTTTAGAATTGCCAAAGCAATTCTCTTATGGCAAGCAGTCTAGATCACATCAACCAAGAGCCAAACCCGTTACCACATTCCGATGCACACACTGTGGTCAGCCGGCACATTTCCGCGATGACCTCGAATTGCCTTACCAGCAAGACAAATTTAAAAGCCCTGGAATAATATGCATTATGTGCTTAACTTGAAATCTCAAGTCTCTCATGGGCCCAGGCTTGGACAGGAGAAGAAGCAGAAGCGCAAGCCTGGCAGGAAGCCCCAACCTCAGGACATGTCCCTGTACCCCAACTACGGGCGTCTGCATACCCACTGGTGCGACCGTAACGGGATCAAAAAGCCCAAGCGGTACTCGCGCCGCTGCCGCCAGCAGTACTACTTCTGGTGCACTTGCCGCAAGCACCTCACTCTGCTCACTGCAGACGCCATTCTCTCAAGTTCTACCCCGGCAAGAAAACCAAACGAGTGCGCGTCCTCTGAGCCAGTCCCCAATCTGCACGTTCTTACATAACGCAAAGACATTCTCTGTGCAGCAGCACCATTCTAATCAATTCCAGTTATAAGGGAACCTTCTGTAAACCCACCAGGCCAGGCTATTGCTGTACTGCAATGTACGCCTAGGAAGCTCGTGCACTGGGTGTTGGCAAACAAAGAGTTTGTTGCAGCAGCAGCTGTATAGTGACACCATCCGCTAAGCGTGCGCATTCGTGCAGGATTTCAGGGCCAGGGACCCGCTGCGGTGCTGGACTTACAATGCAGAGGGCTCTGACCTGGAGGAGCTGGCCGCCAAAATGCTCGCCAGCCTTTTCAAGTACCCCAACCTGGTCTACATGCGCGAGGTCAAGGTATCACACCGCCTTGATCTCCACGCGGGCGCACTGGACCTTGACCAGGTCCTCTCCTGTGCTTTTTTCTGTGTTTTCGTCAGTCAGCACGTGATTTGCACTTGGATACAATTTGCCCGGAGCTGCAGCACAGCGTGTGTCTGTCAGGAAGAACATGCATGACTTGGCATACAATCTCATCTCGTGCGGCGCAAAGTTTTCCTGCTGGCAGTGTGGGTGTTGATTTGGCTGCCTGTGGGACTGGTGCCGCAGGTGCTGCGAGGAAAGTTGGGGGCCACAGATTTCCTGATAGTGCACAAGGGGTGCATGCTGGCGGTGGAGATCGACGGCGAGCAGCACCTGGAGAAGCCCTACAATAACCAGCCGCAGCTGGACGCTGCCAAGGACGAGGCCTACTGGGAGGCCGGCATCAACCTGCTCCGCGTGCACCACAAGTACTGCAAATTCTCCCCACAATGACTCTGCATGCAGATGCTGCTGTCTGACGCAGATACTGGCAATCTTGGGGTCTGCATTGATGCCTGTCAGCATTGCTGGAAGACACAGCAGATTCAGAAGTGCTGCCGCAATGTCATTACGTACACATTATGTGTATCTTGACAGGGGGAGATAAAGCCGTGTAATGTCTGTTGCATTGCAGGGACATGTGCAGGCTGAAGAGGGTGGTGCAGAAGGCTCTCGTGCTGTGCGAACAACCCTGGGTCAAGTTCAGGATGACCACCAGAAAGTATGGCCCTCACAGGAAGCGCCTGATCAAGGGCCTCTGTGACAGGCCATGCTGCATGCGAGTGCCAAAGCTTCTGGCCCCATGTCAGATGAAAGGGCTCGGTTGAGATCTGCTTAGTTCAGCGGAATATGCAGTCTGTATTTCTCTGCTGACGCCGTCGAGAAAGGACCCTCTGTGCAGAAGGCATGCAGTATCATCATGATATCGAGAAGAACGCATGATCTGCATATGTGCGTGACTGCTGTCTTCAATACCATCAGTGCTGCTGTATGGTGTAGCTTTGCCCTGTACTGATAGAATGATCAGGACGGCTGAGAACATGGTTCAATTGTACAATGTACTGATAGGGAATAGGAGTTCTTGTGCGCATGCGTTAAGGCAACAATTGAGTATTCCACGTGCACACAGGATGTGTGAAAAACTTAATGGATGAGCAGCCAGGATGACTCCCTCTAGGTATGTCATATCACACAGATCAGTGTGTGGGAGATGGAGAAAGGCAAGACAGGCTCACATGTCTGTAAAATTGATATCAAGAGCCATTACACCCTGTGTTAATCCTGTTGTACAGGCCCACACATCTGCACCATTATTGGGACTATTCAGGTATTTGCAAAGACAAAAAGACAGAAAGGTAAGACTCCATCAAGATGACAAAGCCTAAGCTATGGCTGCTGACTTGGTTCCGCTGCGCAGCTTCTTTGCAGCCTCACGCTTTGACAGTTTCCTCTCCTTGCCATCATCCTGCAAAAATTTGCACAGCACTGCTGTCAGAGATTGACGGATCATGGGTGACTGTCACACCATTACTGTAACTTGTATTCATTGTCGAATCCATCAGAAGAAACATCATTACTGCAACTTATATTCATTGTCAATCCATCAAAAGACAACAGTAGAAATGTCAAGGAGATAGGCCAAGGTGAAGGATCACACCGCAGCAGCAACAGCGGCATCCTTCTCCGTCAGTATCAACTCGATGTGGCATGGAGATGACATGAAGGCTGCGCATGGGCAAATACATCGCATCAGTCTCATGTTGTCATCATGCTGACATCGGCACCATGCATGGCACCAAGTTCAGAGCACAGGGCATGGAAGGCACGCATGGCAAGTATTGGACAAATTCTGAATGACAAAGGAGAGAGACTCACGGTTGATGCGACCGTGCGCCCTGTATGTGCGCCTGCGCTGCTTCTGAGCCTGGTTGACCTGGATGTGCGAGATGAAGAGGTTGTCTGTGTCCAGACCCTTAACCTGCAGAAAAGCAGATACAAAAGTTAAATACTTTTTTCTTGACAGCCTTGTCCTCGTCACCAGGCGTCTTTGGCTCAAATGTCCCCTGCACAACTCAATCCCATGCATGCAGCTGCAGCCTGCCTGGCAACCCAAGAGGAAATGCTTATGCAGATCTTGCAGCAGTGATGGACGCACCTCTGCATTGCTCTCTGCGTTCTTCAGGAGGCCCAGCAGGAACTCTGCGCTCTTCTTAGGCCAGCGGCCCTGCCCGGTTGTGGAGCCCTCGTTCTTGGCCTGAGCTGTGCGGCCAACGCCTCCGCAGAAGCGGTGGAAGGGGATGACACGCTTGTGCGCAAGCACGTCCTCCAAATACCTCTTGGCCTTGTTCAGCTCCATCTTCCTGAGCGCCATGGCGGATTCTCTTGTGTTTTTGAAGTGAACCCGCAGGTCGCTGCCTCTGGCCTGCTCATCAGCACAACAATAGACAATTATCAGACACTGCATGAGAATGGCTGTAGAGTCTGATGGACTGGCCAAGGGTGACTCTTATCGTGCAAAAGGCACTGCGCCGGCTGCAGAGACTTCAATCGAATCAATTAGTGCGAAGATCCCCATATAAGGCAGATATCAGCGGTATCTACAAGGCGGCTTGTTTTGACGCAGAGAAAGGAAGGGGCAGAAAATTTCTGCGATGACACAGGAAGACAAAACCTTCCTAACGCAGGTCTCTCCATATCTTGCCCTTATGAATACTATAGGATCTCAAATATCCAACACGCTGTCAACTAGCATATACCCTGTCCATGATCCGATCATGAAAGGTAGCTCGCCCTAGGGATAAACAGTGCTGCCATAAACAAAAACGCTACTGCTTTCTCAACACCGATGCAGACGCCGGATACTTGCTTTCTTAATGTATGCTTGCTTGCTCATTCCCCGCTGCAACAAAACCTCTTTTCTCAAGGTCTACCAGCGCTGCTTGTCTGCAAAGCATCTATGCCATGCATCAAGACAACCTCTTATAGCGCTCACCTTCACGGCCTTGGTGGCATTCTCCGACTCCTGCGCGTACTTCACCATCGTGGCACACTTCGCCCGGATCCCGGGATGCCAACCACAAAGTGCAGGGATTGCAAAGTTGCTCAGGCACTTCTGGCGGCTTCGCAGGAACGCCGCCAAAATTTGGCCTTGCCATATCAGCATCAGTCACGACAGCTGTATATTATGTGATACCACAGGCAGGACAAAAGACGCAGCAATTGCGTTGGAGCATTCATTTCTGCAAGAAAAAGTTGCAAGACGTACTATTACGGACATATATCTTTATCGCGCGGGGCAAGCGGCAGTGGTACCTCTTTCAGCATAGCAGCCGTCTCGACAGCCTTTTCAGATGGACTTTGCAGGTCGACCAGGCGGGCCGATCGCGACTACTTTCACGCCACAACACACACAAGGACATGTGTAAGGATACTCTCATATCCGATCAAGATTTCTGCCACCCTTAGATGGGACCTTCAGTACACACTTTTGTGCTTACGTCGTCGTTGTTTGCGCTTGCGCTGAAGCTTGATCATCATGTGATTGAGGAGTTACTATTCATTTGGTGTTACATTATCATCGTCCCCCTCGTGAAGTCCCAAAACTTATCAAGAATGCACTCGTGGTTTGCACCTAGTAAAGCAGGCTAGAGATGTTCTGTCTCCCCTTCTGATCGCGGATTTAATTGCGTGCCAATCCTACACAGGCTGGAGATGCATATGTTTCGATGTACATTGCAGCCTTATTCTTAGATCAAATCGTACCAGAAATGTTTCCATTGTGCCTGCAGGCTATGCTGCCTCTGTGGGGTGTCGATCCCACCCAACCCCTCCAACATGTGCGTCAACTGCATACGATCGCAAGTGGACATCACGGAGGGTCTTCAAAAGCAGGTGACAATCCTGTGGTGTAAGGAATGCGAGAGATACCTGCAGCCGCCCAAGCACTGGGTGAGAGCAGCTATAGAGTCCAAGGAGCTTCTTACCTTCTGCATCAAGCGGCTAAAGGGGCTCCAAAAGGTGCCTCTCCTCTGACTTGGGTGTAGCTCCCAACCATTAAAAGTGTCTCAAAGATGAAACCCCAGCCCCCTTTGATGGTGCCATTTCCATTGTGCGCTCACTGCACTCTGCTGATCGGCTGCTGATCGGGAACCTGCTGTGCTGTCGCGCATCCCACAAATGTTTTTGATGAGTGGACACCATCGTGCCTGAATGAGCAGGATTGAATATGGTGCCACTGTCACGCGCAGGTGAAGCTGGTGGACGCGGGCTTCATATGGACAGAGCCCCATTCGCGCAGGCTCAAGGTGAAGCTGACCATTCAGGCAGAGGTCATGAACGGGGCCATCCTGCAGCAGACATTTGTGGTGGAGTATGTGGTCGAGCCGCACATGTGCATGGACTGCACCCGCGCCAACACCAACAGCAACGTCTGGACAGCCTGTGCGCAGGTGGGGCAAGCTCTCACTGGCCTGACCCTCTTTAGCGGTCAATCTTGGAGCCAGCACAGTCCCATGGATGTGTGAATCAGTGAGATTGCAGGAGAATTGCTAGTGTGCTTCGACCGCCTGCTGGCATGGGGTGGGGCTATAGCGCTGATAATGGTGTCTTTTCCTCTCCAGGTGCGGCAGCACACAGGGCATAAGAGAACCTTCTTCTACCTGGAGCAGCTCATCCTGAAGTACGATGTGGACCAACAGTGCATCAGCATCAAGGACATGCATGAGGTGCGCCCCTCCATACCAACCCTTCTGCAATGCATTTGCCATATGCAGAATCAGGCTCCATGCATACAAGTTGAATTCCACTCGTTTTATGCATATGCATGGCATAAGGGTGGGTGTAAGCAGCGTTTGACCAATGCACTTCATCACAAGACTGGCTGCTGCTTGTGCAGGGCGTGGACTTCTTCTTCAGCAACAGGGCGCATGCGCTCAAGTTCATTGACTTTACGCAGAACCATGTGCCGATCAAGTATCGCCACGACAAGCAGCTGGTCTCCCACAACGAGCATGCCAGCACCTACAACTACAAGTACACCTTCTCTGTGGAGATTGTGCCCATCTGCAGGGTGAGGGTGCACCTTGTGTATCTCCCTCTTACATTACTCTGCTCTGTGTGCCACAAATCCTGTCATTACTTTCAGTCAAGTTTGCATGCTTGAAGATTTTGGTCAGATGCATGCTGAACTTCATTTGAGCCGCAGAGAGCACGAAATACAGTGAGTTTCTGGTGCTGTTGCAGGATGACCTGGTGTGCTTGCCGCCCAAGGCAGCGGCGTCTCTGGGCGGTTTTGGGCCCCTGGCGCTGTGCACGCGTGTCTCCAACACCCTCACGCTAACCGACACCCAGACGCTGCGCTCCGTGCAGATAGATGTGAGCGCAAACCTCACCTCCTCCATCCAGCACAGATCTTCCGTTCACCTACAGCACATGCTCAAATGTGCAAACATGGATTTATGTGCTCGGTTCTTGAATTTATGATGCACAAAAGTGAGGTTTTTGTGTATTTCCTTTGAGGGCGCGATTGAGGTGCACATGTGCGGTCAATGCGCAGGCCAACACATACTGGCGGTACCCCTACAGGCCGGTGGTGACGAGCCGGCAGCTGGTGGAGTTTGTGGTCCTGGATGTGGAGCCCGCGGCCCCCTCGCAGAACAGCCGCTTTTTATTGGCTGATGTCCAGGTGCAATTCAGTCTGCTTTTTGCTGCCCATCATTTTATTTTGACTGCTCCATTGCTCGCATTTCCCCTGTGGGATTGTGCCAGTGTGCAGGCCCACAGCTGACATGAAGATTGCAATTTACCATTAAGCAGTTACAGAGAAATCAGAGGCGTGGATCATCGTGCCGCATGCAGGTTGCAAAGGCATCGGACTTTGGGCGCAACGACAGGACGTTCTTCGTGAGGACTCATCTGGGCCACCTTCTGCATGCGGGCGACTCGGCTCTGGGCTATGACATGTCAACAGCCAACACAGTGGAACCCGAGCTGGACGCTGCAGTTGCCAAGGGCCTCCAAGTCCCCGACATCATCCTGGTATGCTTTCTGCAGCTGACAGAGAGGCTGCAGTTGTTCATGATATGTATGCCAGCTGGACAGTGAGCATGCATTTTGAGAGTCTGATTTGATCAGCAAGACATGGCACCATTTGCAGCCTGCGCATGCATGCTTATGAAGGGATTCTTCTAGCCTCAAGCAGAGAGCCAGTTTGGACTTTGTTGGTGCTGTTTTGGAAGCTGCATGGCTGCTGTTCATCAACAGAGCATAGAAGTTGTCAGTGAAAGTATGCTGCATGCATGCATGACACTTCCATGTGCATGCGGCTATGAACATTTCTGACATGCGTGCGGCGGGTGCGCAGGTGCGCAAGAGCTACGAGGAGAAGCGGCGGCGGAGGAAGGCGCGCGGTGAGCAGCGGGCGTGGAAGCTCAAGCGCATGGCGATGGAGGCCGAGGAGGAGCCCGGCACCAGCGGCCGCGGCCGCGACGCCCGCGCAGCGCCGCGCCACGAGCAGGACCTCGAGCGCTTCATGCAGGTCGGCATTACGATGTTGCTCCTGCCTTGCTTCTTTTTGTTGATGTGCTGCTTTCCTGGTCTGCCTGTGCGTCCTTTGCGAGTCCCAGGGTGTGCTTACATGCGGCTGAGCATCCCTTCAAGCATGTGGGTCAAGCTTGGTGCATGATGATGATCAATGCATGCATGCATATTTAAAGAGGTAATATAATGATATGGCTCAATGCATGCAGCGGTGCCACATTACCATGCCATCTCCTTACAAGTCATCTGTGTGGCGCAGGAGCTGGAGGAGGACCCGGAGCTGCGCGCCAAGATGGCGCTGTACCGCGACCCGGCCTACAACCCCGTGGCGGAGGCCGAGCGCCGCGCTGCGGCCATGACAGACGACGAGGACGGCGATGTCCCAGAGGTGCCCCTGGAAGAGCTGCTGGACGACCTGGCCGGCCTGCAGCTGGACGAGGAGGAGCAGGAGGGAGCCGAGCAGCAGAACGCAGGCATGCAGCATTGACAATGAGAGTGGCGCCTTAGGGGGCCCTGGTGAACGCATGACTGCAAGAGACTGTGGTAGAGCTGATCTGACAGCTGTGTGATCTGACAGTGATAAGTAAGTGCTGCCACTTCTGCGAGGTTTGAGCTGTTGCACAACTGCAGAGGTGTCATTGTTGCATGTGTGCTCAACAGTTTTGCAGCTAATAAATATGATGGGTGGAGTTTCACAATGCTGTTGCTGCACAGAGCAATTCTCTCCCAATGTAGAGCTGGGATGGTTTCATGATGTGGCGTGCAACCTTGAGTTTAAGGAACTCTGAACGGTGAAGTGGCTTGAGGAGTGAAAGAAATATCCACACGTGTGCACATGACATAATGATCAGCATGAATTCTTGCCGCTTGCTTCTGCTGTATTTCTCCTGCTGGCTGAGAATATCAGCATCATTGCTGCGCTATGACGCCGCAAGCAGCCCTTCTTCTGACCTCTGGCGCTCATACAGCTTGCATGTGGGTGTATATATATGTGGAATGGACGCTGGCCAGCGCCTGGCCCTGGTACTAGCTCTGGGAGGTACATATGCGCAATAATGTCTTCTTTCAGTACCTGCAATGCACATCCTTCTGTCTTTTGCTACCTGATTTGGCAATTTGGACGATTGCATGTCATGGAGGGTTGCATGTCATCCTGCCCATGCGCGGAAGAAGGGGGATCCCCATGATGAGTCATCAGTGATTCTGGGAATCACGAAGCGTTCCACAAAGCGCCCCTTCACAAGCCCTTCTCGGCAGTGTGAGGGACAATACACATTTCTACTGATCTGTTGTGATGGACGATCATCTTCCCGGCTCTTGCTGGGCATCTAGCCCGGTGTTTCTATGTCTTGTCTCTGACTATTCGTCCTCCAATTGCAGTGGTGCTAGCAGCACTGCTGCTTGAAGCCGTCCCTGCAGCGCTAAAGCTGCTTGTCAGCCTCTTCAAGCTCATGATCGAAAACTCAACATCAACAACATCGTTACCGTCAAGGGACCATTCGAGCACGGTTGGACTTTGCAGCCGCCTTGAGCTTATTCGCCCGATCAGCGTCTTGGGCCTTTCGGTTGCTGCAATGCAAAGCAAGCTTTCATCTGTAATTCAACTGTGTGTATCCGTTGCTGACACGCAGTGTGTCTTTCAGGTGCTGAGAAGCTTTGACGAAGAAGTGTTGTCGAAGCGCGTTGGTCTTGGCAGCTTTCATGGTAGAATCACGGAGAATTCTTGAATGTTTTCAAGTAGGAACATAGCTCTGAATTAAAGGAGTCAATTCCTGCTGGCAAAGCAAGGCTGACATCCCTTTGGTGAGAGGATCAAGCATACACTGCAGCATACCCTGACCTGATCAGCGTCTGCAGTGAGGTCAAGCTAAGATTAATCCACGATACTGAGTGCACCTGTTGTGATGCAGGAACTTGAGACTCGAAACAAACACCTATATGCACAATATGAGGGCTGTCCACTGGCGGCTGGCAATAAAGCTGATGCAGTACTTCAAGGTGTGGCTCCTGATTTCTGCAGCATGCGTGGTGTTGCTCTGGCACATGCAGTAGGCAATGGCAGGCAGGCTTTGCTAGTGACACAGCAGCATAAGAGTTGCAGGATCCCTGAGCTTCAGAAGAGAACTGTGCATTGATGCAGCACTGTTCATGCATCTTGCAGCTTTTTTTGTTGTTGAAACACATGCGTGTGCGCCAGGGCGCATGGGCCTGGGTGGTAAATGGTGATTCCGAGAGGATACAGCAATGATGATATCGAGAGAAGCTGAATGCAATAGGTGAGACCTTAACGCTGCTTCTCCATGTGAGCTTTGTGTGTGCCATGAAAGATGATTGTCTGTCAATCATCTGCCACAAATGGTGCCTTTGCCAGCAGCACCACCCTAGAGCCATTTCAGAGATCTGCTTGCCAAACAGAAGGATTACCTCATAGCTGCAGGAGAGTTCATACGACATGCGAAGTGTGTTCTTTGTGTGAGCTATGTCCTGTGCTGATGCAGGAATTTGTGAGGCTTCAGCATCAGGATATCAACGCAGCGCCTCCAGAAGCCTTAAGGCTTTTCCATGAAGAGAGGATGGCAGCGTGCATGCCATCACTGTGCGCACTTCAGGTTGGGTCCTTCTCTAGCAGCAGCCAATTTCCAGAAACCTTTGATGACTCTGGTGTTGCTCGATGCCCCTGTCAGATGTGGGAGGAATACAATGGGATGGCAATGATGCTGACGATCGTGTTCATAAAGTAGATGCTGAAATCTTTGCGATCTGAGCCATCCATGCAAATCTGATGCCTTTGATGGTCCTATTGCTCAAAAAGATGATGAGACAGGGACTTCAGCAACCTCTCTACCAGATTTTCCTGGTGTGCATGAAGATCTGCAATGTAGATCACCAGCAGCTGCTGGTGCAGGTTTATTGAGACAGGTAGGCTTCTTATACTTATAGCCCAACAACAGTCATTTTATCTTCAGAATGTGGCATTTTGAAGTCCGTGCAGTACGGCCACTGCAAGGAACGGCCTCTGCAGCTGCAGTGGATCTTCTTCTGGTTCCTCATCTTTCTGGTATCACGGTGCGTTCTCTCATCAGCTGGACCTGCACAAAGCAAGCACTGCGTTCCTGGCACCCTGATCAAAATGTTTGGTCACCAGAACAGTTCCAAAGGTGATGCCCCTTGGTGCTGCTAAGAGTGACAGATACATGCAAGGGTTGGAAAGAGTTTATTTCTCCATGAGATCAAACACATGTACCGGTAGATGCAGTCAAGCATTTTCCCAGTTCCATAACTTATTGAGCAGATAAAAGCAGTAAGGTTGGCTGTCGTGATGGGCGACTATGATGAGGATAAGCTGTGTTTTGATGAAGTGATGATGAAAAGACATACGCACTGAGTCGCCCCACGCCCTGCACCCTCATCAGAGATCAGACCAGATTGCAAAGATGTCCCTGAGAGTTGCAGAAACTGTTCTTGCATGCAGCATTGATTGTGTCCCCTGCATGCCCTCTCAGAGCTTACCGTTTGTGGACGCAGGATGTGGAGCGTTTGCTAGCACAATGAGGACGGGAGGCTGACCGGGCCCAGGACACTGCACAGCAGGTATCCCCAAAGAGAATTGTTGACAAGTTCGCTACTCCTGAGTGCTGGATGCCCTCTTTCAAGGCCTGTACATGTGCAAAGCAATAATGGAAAGACACAAAATCAAGTCTTTGCCAGAACCTATATTTCAGGGTTTTAGGGATTTAAACCCTACATCCAAAACCTAACCAGCCTCTTAAGGTCAATGCATGTGGGCTCTAGAAGAGATTTGTCAAACACTAAGGTAGCAGGATGCAAAGTCGCAGGAGACACTCTTTAAAAGCGATGGTGATGTCCAGGTCCAAAGTCATGACATGGATGCTATTTACACAACTTGCTGAGTCACCATAGGGCACCTGCCACATTCTAGCGTGCTGCTCAATGCAACACCGAAGGCCCTTCCCAAATGCCCTGCCAGGGGCATTTTGAAGATCACTGGAGACTCAAATGTTTTGCTGGTAGCCAGCAGGACTGCAGACTCTCTCAAACTCTTTGGCAGCTTGCATTTCAGGGGCGAACAGATTTTGTACCTGTGCATGCTGGAATGAAGCAGCTCCAGGCAGTGGTGGGCAGGGGCCCTCGCCAGGGAGTAGATACAACGAACATATCCTCCGGGACTACTTAATTCACACGCGAAACCTCACATGGTATGATGTTTCTTATTATGAAGGATCCCTTTCACAGAAGAGTGCAAAAAGCAGTATAGCTGACCAAGATGACCGCCCAGCCCCGCAAGAGCTCCGTTTTTTCCCGTAATAGGCTGGCATTCGATATTTTGTTCAAGGCTCTCATGGTGTCATGCCAATCCTAGTTGTAATAGATTAGCAGTGCACTAATGGCATGGGTGACAATGACGAAAACAGTGGCGATCTGATGACTATATGATGACATGTATTACCCAGCTGAGTCACCCAGGCACATCATGGTCTCAGATATAACAAAGAGAGCATGAATCCTTGAGCTCATAGCAATTCTGACAAGAGCAGGACTGATAAGAGCAAAGGACTGCAGGAAATGAGGGGGTCAAATCTCCTTGCCACCTGCTCTCAGTGATGGAGTGATTGGCGCTATTGTGGTGCTTGCAGGAGCATTGTGGGAGTGCTGTGGGAGTGCTCGCTGATTTGTTCTCTCGACGGAGCAGACACTTTATTAATGCCTGTTCAAGCGGAGCAAGAATGCCAAAAAGCTTGCATAGGGTAGGTGTACTGAGCGCCCGGCAATCGCCTGCAGGTTCATCCAGCTTCCCACCCGGCAGCCCGGTAGCGCAGACAGACCCTTGCTGAGTAGCGAGCAACAGAGTCTGCTCTTCACTGCGGGGGAGCAGCCTGCCAGCAGCATTTCCTCAGCAATGCCGCATTGCAGCGGCTGCTTTCTTTTTTCTGGTGGTGGCATTGTGTGAATGTGTGAAGCCGTCGAGACTAGCCCTGATGGCCTATGTGTGGCAAGGAGCATATTAAAACCAGTAAGATTAGCTGCCATGATATGCGACTATGATGAGGAACAATTTGGTCAGAAGATTCTTTGATGTAGAAATATCACTCACACGCACTGAGTCGCTGCAAGCCGCCCCCTCATAAAAAATCAGACCAGATGGCAAAGATATGCCTGAGCGCTGCAGAAGCCGTTCTTGCATGCAGCATTGATCGTGCCCCTTGCATGCACTATTAGGCAGCAGCAGATAATTCTTAGGCTGTCAGGCCAATACACCCGTTGGAACAGAGCAAATATCTTGACAGTTTGTGATTAAGGACCCTATACATTATGAAAATTGTCAGGAAAACTTGATGTGCATGTGCAGGAATTGCAGCAACCTGGGCAGCTTGGTGCGGCGCCCTGGCAAAGGAGTTATCACCGTGTCTTCCTGGAGCATCTATTCATCGGTGCGTCCTTCCATGCCTTGAGATGTCGTTGATGCTG